GTTCATCAAGTTTTAATTCTTCAACACTTTTAAAAAATATTGTGAATAGTGTCTGAGTCTCTTCATGTCAATCTTCAAACTTGAATAATAAATAATAAAATATAATAAACCTTAAGATTACCCTTGAACACGAAGAAATACTTGCAACAATCTCATAAATCTTTATCAGTAAGATTTTACACTCTCCTATATATCAAAGAAGCAACATACCGATTCCTTCCGCCTCGAGTTACTCTCGAAACGGAAGAGTTGAACAGGATCATCGGGGGTCAGTTTACAAGGGGTAACGTCGAAACCGTTCTAGCTGCCGTACAAACACTTAAAAGTTGAAAAATAAGAAAGTATATTTCTCACTTAGAGTCAACTCGAAACTCGATGGAACGATGTAAAGCGCTTCTTGCACACGGGAACAGGGTCCAGCAACGATGGAGGAGCCACTTAAAGCGTTGGCCCTAGCAGCGTTAAATATTTGATCAGAATTCGATTGCTTTAAGACGTCAGTCTACGAGCGAGGGTGCGGCCGGGCGCAGGATAGAGTAAAAGAAAGGGAAGAGAACGAAACGGTTGACGTAAGGGAGGATACTTAACAGAGGGACGAGCTATTCCCCGGAGCCGAACGTTCGAACGATGTCCAGCTGTCCAAGTCACAGCGTTCTTTCTCTGCTGGTACTAATGCCAGGACACAAGTCCGCTTTAAAATCCCCTTTCCCTTACCTTGCCGTGAAAACGGCTGGACAGGGAATAACGATAGCATCCCCTTGGAAATATAGCCAATTCGTTAGGTTTCTCGAGCAGGAATCACGTTGAGGATGCCTCTGTCGATGGACGGACAATGGCGCACTGCTTTCATGAAGAAGGGTTGTCGACGTTCTTGTCGTGCCTTAGGGTCCACAGTTTGTAATTAATATTTTAAAACACGCTGGATTGATTTCTTCACGGAATTAATATTCAGAACGCAGTGCAGTGAATGACATAGCTTTAATTTCCGAAAGGTTTGCGAGTTGAAAGCGTTTCGAATCTGTTCAAGTTGCTGTTCTGTCGTAGCGTACTTTCATTCAGCGTTAAGAACATCGAGGGTAAAAGGAGGAGTCGCAGAACTCACGCGAATCCACGTGGTGCCAAGTGGGGTGCATTAGCCAAGTTCCCCATTATCCACGCGTGAGAGACCCCTAAATTATCCGGCATTCGCCTAGCACCGACCTCTTCCACCCCTGAACGTCGGCGAGAAAAAGATGTACGGGTTCCTTTCGCGAGAACACCCTCGGTGGGCGTTCGGAAGGCGATAGGTGCGATGGAAATGATTCCGATTCGTCGAGCGATAGTTTCTTAAAGCACTAAACAAATTTAAAATATTTCTGCATGTTAAAAATTCAAATATTTTTATCCCTCTTATTCAAATAAGTTTCTAATAACTCAAATTATTCAAATTTTTCCCTAATAATAATTCAACTTATTCAAATTCTTCCGCAATAATAATAATCCCCCTTATTTCTCAAGTACAGACAATAAATATCTAATATAAAGTTTGTTAACTGTCGTATTCAAAGTACCTTTCGATCTCCAACTGCTGAACTACTGAATACATGTTTAACACTTACAAAAATTATTTACAATGCCACAGAAAGTACCAATATATACTGACAAATGAAGACTGAATTAAAAATTATTGTATTATTTTGACGGACTATCTCATTAACCCGTTCGCCAAATGTCAATATTGCGACGCGACGCGACGGTGCGATTCTGGCCGAAATCCGAAGACAGACTTAACTTCCAATAGAACCGCTAAGAGTACTGTGATCCGTCGGTGGTTTATCTAATTGGAATTGTCGAGGGCTCGAAGAAGGACCAAGAGCAACCGAAAGCAACGAGGAAAGATGATGACAGAGAGAGAGAACATGAAAAGAGAAAGTGTATTAGATGGAGAGAGATGGTAGCTAAAGAACCATCGGGGGTGTGTAAGTTTGGGCTATCTCTGAGAGCACAGTTCCAAGGAGCTCCTTTAGACTCTAGTGACGTGACGTCGCCTAATACTCTAATCCCTTCACTGGAGGCACCATCGTCCGCTCTACAGCTTCGTGTTCCTGGGTAACCATCGTCTCCGCTACGAACGGCACTTGCTAATTAATTGACGAGTACGGATTTTGAGGTGTCGAGAATCTTTATGTCTGTGGTGAGGCTGCCGCTGATATCTCAATGCTGGTTGAACACTTCACGTATCGAACAAAATATTATAACGTTAATTTTATTGTCATTTTTATAAACGCGTACATAGATATATGTTCAAACTTTGCTGAGTTCATATTGTCCCTTGATAGTGAGACCATATTGCATATTATCTTCAATGCAACTTGTTGGGGACATTTCTTGATTTTGACAGTTAGATAGAGTTTTCAAATTTGTCCAGTATAGGGTATAAAAGCAGATTTCACAAATAGTTCTTTTTTCTTTAAACAGAAAAATTGATAATGATTGAAGGAAACTTCCGAGATATAATGGAAGCCATTTTGTAGTTTAGTACGTAAGTAAGGAACATTTCTAACTATTCAATTTTTGGAAATAGGATTAAATCTCGCGAAAGGGCAGGCCACTAAGTCGCCCTTTACAGCTTTCCCCCGTACAGAATTGTTTATACGTTATGTATATTTTCAATTTAAGTTTGCAAGGATCTTAATTAAACCATTAAATCGTCTAAAACTTAAGGAAAAGTTAAAGAACGAGAAATATTGTATGAACACTGAAAGAGTAACACGAGAAAGCGGGTGTCTGTCGAGGACGCAGAGACTTTAACAGCAGACGTGACATTTTCCTCCGACGCGAAAACGAAACCAATCTTTACGCGATACGCACGGACGTAGGTACTCGTCCAGGAGAAGGGCTGCTTTCTAATTATTCCCCACAGGCCATAAGGGATGACACGTAATTGGAGGGTGGACGAGGAAGCATTGATCCCTAACTGGAAGGGATTCAGTCTCTTCCTTGCTCCACATTGGGCAGCTTTCTCTCTCTTTCTCTCTCTCTCCCTCGTCCGTTAGCTCGAGAACTCTCGAATATCGACTGCTGGACCAATGAGCATTGTCCAGTAAAGAAAAGTGATAATGTCTTAAGCCGTCGGTGCGATTTAACTTCCGATTTTAGTGGAAGAGGGCACATTCTCTTCCAGCCGGTCCTTTCTAAGGGTTCGTTGCTCTAAACTCTGAACTCCCGTGGTCTGAGGAGGGTTTAGGATTTAAGGAAAGCCCTCTCACTCCCGAGATCCTTGGAAGCTCTGCTAAGCGCTGACGCTGATCCTGCTCTTCTTCTTCTTCCTATACCACCTCTTGGAACCTGGGTTTATCTAATTCGACTTGTAGCTTCCCGCTATCGCTGTAAACCGTACGAGCAGACCGAGGTTTGAGTGTCTGCCGATTGAAAATACGGTTTCGCGTGATCGTTTGCGGCGAGGAAATAGACCGGCAGGGGTATATTTATCCGGGCAAATTCGGCAAGAACCGTGCACGCTGCTTCCCGTTATATAACGGGTCAATACAGAAATGACCGCGTACCAATTCGACTCCGATAACGTCCTTTGGATCAAAAATATTTGAGGAACGATTCTTGCAAATTGCGAACGTGTGCATATATTCCACGCAAAACGCTGTAACTTGTACGTTCGACATCACGCAAGCACCGATAAGTCGTGACCTTGTTCGCGTTAAACTCGAGCAAATTCGCGAACCGTGCTTTCAGAATTCAGACAATAATCGTCGAGAAACTAGCTCAGGTACATGCGAAACTTGTTCACCTGGTCGTAATCGCGAATCCAGCAGAAGCGTAATGCGTTACAGCAAGCTCGGCGTAGCCTGACGTAAATACAGAGACGATCGCGAGGCATCGTTGCGTTTTCTCGGTTGGTCCTAATTGAATTTGACGATGCTCGTTACGCGAGGCACTCTCGAGGCGGAATGCAAAAAAAAAAAAAAACGAAAAAGACGGAGGTCTCTGGCCGGGGACCAGCGTAGCCGGGACTCTTAAGGCAGCAGAGAGAACCAGGTAACAGAGAGGTACACGTAGGTGGAGGACGAAACGGGGTAGTGGAAGTTAAGATGTGGGTGAATGTAAGGGACGGAGGTGTACGGTGCACGTAGCCCAACACACTGAACACCTTGGTGTGCATCCAGGGGCCGAGTCCCCTTCTCCCTGCTGTCGTAGGGGGTGGTGAGGTGAGTAAGGGGATGTGCTGAGAGGCCGGGAATCCCGTTCCAGCTAAGCTGAAAGGGGTGGACAGTGCGCAGAACCCGCCCCCACTTTTCGCGGCGAAGCAGAAGCTGCCGGTTGCTCGCGCAAGCTTTCATCCCCTCCCTGTAGTCTGGAAGATCGCCACCCCCGAACGAGCTTAAACATATCACAGTAGCTCGCGAGCACCCTGCGTGGAAGGGCTGTCCACGCATTTGTGCCACGCAAAGTCGGTCTATACACGTATCGGCGGCTCGGCTCGAGCACGCGAGACTGGTGCGCGAACACGCGCGCGCGCGCGTGCGTGTCACATCGAGTGCGTGCACGATCGTGTAGAGAAAATTACCGTGCCCTACGATACTAAGATCTAGGATAAAGTACGACGCAGTGTGTTCGATCAAAGGAAACGATCGACTAGCATTTGTTCATCTGGAGAACGGAGAAGCCTCGAGTGGATGGAACGGGTCCCAGGATTCGGGGCGATGCCCTCGACTGGCCTCCGCCGGTTTCGGGTGAAATTTCTTGACAGACCAGATATTCTGTAGGCTTTGAATGCTCGGTTCACGAAAACGTCATCTGTCTCTCGTCGAAAAGGACGAGACTAGTGGTCTGAATAGTTTGGAACTGACAGAGCTTCTGACCCCCAGCTTCTCGGATAATTGGTTCGGTTAGATTCTGAGCGGCCTCGAGTGACAAGCTAGCACTCATTGATCAAACTCACTGTGCGATCCATGCATCTGATGAGAGAACAGATTTCCTGATCCTCTGGAATTTTTGTGTTCCAGGGTGGAACTAACCAGCGTGCCAGGTGGCCAGAATGCGATGGCTCATCTCAAAAAACGGAAGCTGGAAGCAGAATCTGTCAGCCCAAATCCTAAGCAACTGCAGCAACTGCAACAACAGCAGCAGCAACAGCCGCAACAGCAACACTATCAGCAACAGCAACCGTTGATCAACAAGAAGGCTGCTCAAACGACCATTCCTCAAGAAATGGAGACAGCTGATGCTGCTGCTAAGCGAAGGAGGAAAAGCGTGCGCGACGACGAGACACGAAAATCACTTGAAGCCAATGACGCGAGTAAAAACATACCGTTGCCACAAAAGAAACGAGCATTCGCCGCTGGGACCTCTGGTAGTCCGGCGAGAAAATCCAGCAAGCATTCTGAGGAGCCCGAAGATGACGAGACTCTCATCAGAGAAACGGAAGCCGCTTTGAAAAGCTTGTCGGGAAGTTGGCCCGGTCCTAGAGGCTCCTTGTATCAACGAGGAAACTCGGACGAAGATAAGTACGAATCAAATTTTGAAAATCTGTTCGAAGAAAAGAAAGACAACCCCAAGCTGTCACCTTCCTCCGTGTCAACCTCTTCGACTACAAGCAACGAGACAGGTTATTCTCTAAAGGATGTGATAACGTTCCGTGGTCAGCAAGACCGTAGCGGCAAGGTTCAACAACAATTGAAGCAACACGACGTGGTCAAGCAACTACAGCATCAGAGCAAAGTGAAAAAGGATCTTGATAACGTGTTGAGAACGGAAAACGAGTGTAGCAGCGTACAAGTTCAAGTGAACAATGTGAACCCAAACGAGCCAGGTAAAATTAGGCCGGTGTCAGTGAGGTCCCTGTCGGGCAAGGACCGAAACGACAGGAGCATGGTCGGCACTCACGTGGATCCACAAGGACGGCAAACGGATAAATACTCCAGATACGACCCACCAGACTTTAACGAACTGGTAGACGACTCGTCGAACGAACTCGAGATCGACATGTCGGATCCGACCGCCGAGAAGGACGATGCTGACAGGGACAAAATGAGCGACAGGGACCGTGATCGAACGTGCAGAAATGGACAATCGCCTCAGAACTCAGCGAGGCAACAACAACATCAACATCAGCATCAACAAATGTATTCCAGTTATCACAGACAGTACAGCGAGAACGGCATGAAGGTTTCGCCGACAGCTACGACCACCTCCTCCTCCTCATCGCCGCCGTCGAATTCTCCGTTCTCGGCCACGTCGGCATTCAGACCACCCAATACGGACCACGCGAAAGCAACTGGCCGCGGTACACCGTCAGTGGCCGTGGCTTCCACAGCGATTCCACCTATCGGCCCGTACCCAGCCTCGGCTACGTTTGTTGGCTACCCCACCGCTGGTCCTGGGCCAACGATGCCGACCCCGCAACCTGTTACCGGCATATCGCCCACCTCCGAGGACAAGCATTCGTCCACGGTTTCGCTGTTGCAGCTGAAATCGTCGAAAGAGGACGCCCATCACGTGACCAGGCACGAGGTGACACTCAACACGGTGACAAGCAGCAAAAGTCCCAGCGGTGGCCTTCCCGCGGTCACCAGTCCTGATTCCTCGAAACAGTATACAATCCTTCAGCCAGCAGGTGTTGGCTCGAGAGCTGCCAGTGCCCTCCAGGACATAGCCAGGGACGGAGTCGTCAGCGTCACTGCTGTCAGCAGTTGCAGTACAAGTAGTTCAACGAACGGAAACAACAACAGCGGCAGTAGCAGCGGTAGCAACGGTAATGGTGGAAATTGCAGCAACAACGTGTCCAGCAAGAACACGAGCAACAACAACGGTGGCAGTGCGTCCAGTAGCAGCAATACTGCCGCTAATGGTAATGGTAGCAATGTGACTAGTATCGCTATCACGGCTGTGTCGACCAGCACGACCACGTCCAGTCCCACGACTGGCGGCGACGTATCAGCTGGAACTGGAGCAACTCAGCAAGAGAATGTGATGAAAATACCGGAAAGGCCTGGTGCCTTCGATGGAAGCAGGCCGGGAATGTCCATGTCTCCGTCCAGTCTGAGCAGAGGTGAGAATTTCGATATCACTAATTCGAATACTTCGTTCAGAATTTCAACTATTTTGTTATATACCGACTTCTCGGGTAAATCTTCATTTTTCTTACGAGTTCATACACGGTCATCGACTTTTGCGAATCTGCGGTCGCGTGTCACGTCGAGATTTCAACGACAGCAAATGCGAGCAGTGTTTCGAACCGTTCATGTTACTGCAGCATTTTTTTCGATGTCTCGTCAAATGCGAATGCACTGGCGCTTAAGAAACTCGCAGAATCATTGATAAGACTAATGCTCGCAACGGTAGGGTTACTTTTCGTACGTTATCCGCCGTGAAAAGGGGACAAAAGGCATTTTCGACTCACCCGCGTGCTTTACTCTTCTCCTGCTCCATCTGTATCTCTTTCTGTCGCTCTCTCCTACTTTCTCTATGAAGTTAGGGGAGTTAGGGTGGCACGGAAAATCAATAATTACGAAGCGAGGGGCGATGACTCAAATGGTGAAATCAAGGTCTCTCAAAGTAAAGTTATTCTCTGTATTCTACGCTACAGCCACTTTGTCTTCGTCCTCGGCACAGCTTCGAAACTATTCGCTTGATCATGGGAACCTCGCGATAATCGTAAAGACACGCGACACGGGTAAACTTGCACCTATCAGACATGTTCGAGCACATGCCTTTCGGATGTATCTTATTTGAATCGTCGAACACCTGTTCGCGACTTTTATTGAAGTACTTTTTGTTAATTCTTCTTTTCAATTTTTACGAGTTCAACTTTTTATTTGTGAAACTTGTGGTTACAGTGTAATAGATTTAAAGGATCTTTGTGTCGTGCGATATTTTCTATGTCGAAGTTTCAATTTGCGATGTAGAAAAATGAAATTGATAAAAGAAATTCATACTTTTTATGTTATTTTTTTTGCTCTTTAAGTTTTTATATTGAAGTTATTTGGAAACTGAAAATTTGTTTTAATTTATTGAAACGATTTATGTAGTTTGAATGAAATATTCTCTTTTTATGATAATCATGATGGAACTGAACACTTAAAACAAATTAATAATTTGTTGCTAGACAAATTCTTTATTGCCAGACTTTTTTAATTCGGTAAAATGTAAAATCTATGAATATTACAATTGAAATATGTCGATTACTAGAAAGTCTCAAACATGAAAAGATAATATGTGTCACATATAACATACAACGCTCCTCTCCTAAATAGAGAATATTGACATATTCTCAAATTATATGACTATAACACGCATTATTCGAAACTCTATTTTATGTAGAGTATTCATATGACCTAACTTTAATGCAAAGATAATCGATCAATGAAATCGAACGGTATTGACAAAGAATCAAAGAAAATCCCCCGTGTGACAGCAGATTGGGATTCCATGGTGTGACAGGTGAGAGTTGGAGTGCATTCCAGGGTCTTAGGGCAGCGATGACACGATGTGCCTAGGCGGGGAAATTTGAGGTTGATACCACGTCATACGTATAAGCCGCAGCTGTCAGCAGCTAGAGACGTGACTAGCATCCCAGCCAAACCACGCCACCTTATTACCACCATGCGGCTCTGCTGCCTGTTCTCATTATCCCCTTAGCGTTTTCTCCGCTTGAAGCTGCGAAGATGAACGGCTTCAAAAATTCAATCTTCGTCGTTTCGTGTTCTGTGCTAAATCGAGGCGGATAGTTTGATGAGAAGACACTGTTTGCTCCTGTTCGATTATCTTTAATAATAGACAACAGACTAAATTATCTTATCAACAAAGATGAAATTTTATCTTCAAAGATGAAATTTTTGTCGATTACTTGATTTGATCTTGTGGGGATTGTTTGACCTTGTTTGATTGTGTTTAACGATAAATAGAAACTCAAGTTGCATCATGAATTTTGACCTCAAAATTTTTATGAATTTTTAAATTGTGGAGGTGTTTGATTATGTTTACTGAAGTCGACTAAATTATTATGTGAGTTTAAATGTTACTGTTCAAATTTTTAAGAATTTTTAAGTTGGATATCTTGGAGACTCTCGTTTGATTGTGTTTAGTAGTAGAGATGTTGGCTGAATTACTTTGTGAATTTTAATATTATTGTTCAAATTTTTATGAATATTCAACTTGTATATCTTGGAGATTGTTTAGTCATATTTGAGTATTTTTAAAAGTAGACAGTAACTCAAGTTATCTTATGAATTTCAACTTAAACTGTATAAACTTGTAAACTGTATATCATAGAAATTGTTTGGTTCTTTGAAATTGTTTGAGTATCTTTATCAATAGGCCAAACCATCTCATAAATTTAAATTCCACATTTTTACTAAGAATTCCTAAATGCGTGTCGTCAATTATTTGTTTTTGAATATCTTTCGTAATAAATAACAGGCTAAATTATCTAAAAACCTTAAATTCTAGCATTGTAATTTTTATGAACTTCTAGATTGCATATCATATCTATTTTTTCTTGTTTGATTATGTTAAATGATAACCATAAAAATTATTTCAAGAATTTGAACTTTGCTGTTAAAAGTTGAATTCCAGATTTGCATATCATAGAGATTGTTTGGTTCTCTCTGATTATTTTCATAAACAATAGGCTAACTTATCTTCTGAGTTTGAAGTTCAACGTTCAAATTGTTATGAATTCCTTGAATGTATATTGTTGGTATAGTTTGGTCTTGTCTAATTATCTTCAGTGGTAGACATTCGTCTGGATTTGTACTTCAATATTAACATTTTAATGAATTCATAAATTTTGTATTACAGAGATTAATTCTGTTAATCAATATGGTAGAATATGCATTATTACAGTTTATTTACATCTTTACATGACTGCCTTTTTAATACTAGATCTACCGAAGGAATCAGCTTGACTAGCTTCAGCTTTCTAATTTTAATTAGCTTTTTAAAGTACTTTAATCAAAATTTGTAACGGGGCTTAAGAAGATAAATAACTGTATGTTCTATTTTATATTTCATCCTGTTTTTATTCATTTTTCTATCGTATTTTCAATTTAAAAATACATGTCGAGTGCCTATAAATCTAGTGTGATCTTGCACACGTGCACCATCTAACGACGAAAATAACACTTACAAAGGTAAATACATAGTAGTGTTTAAATTTTACTGATTCTATACTGATTATGTCAACAATAATTGCAACAATACAAATAAAAATTTATATTGTATGATAGTGAACAATAATTTCTTGATTCATTTGAATCGAAAAATGACTTCATCTCGATCTCAGAACTAAAATCTCGGAACAAATAATAACTGAATTTTTAGAATATTCAGTAAACATCCTTACTAAATATTTCGTATCCTCCACACTACAATTTCTTATTTCAGTGTCGTTTCTTCAATTTACAAACTTTCAACTGCAGCTTCAAACGAAGTTCTAATACAAAATTAACGAAAATATTTGTAAAAAATTAATAATTATTCTAATCTCTAAAACTTAGAAATTTATAATACAAACAACATAATAAAAAGTAGAGGACCTTTAATTTTCCTGTTTACAATTTAACAAGTCACATTAAAACTTGAAGGGATTATGCAATGTTGGTAACAAACCGCATGCATTGTTACACACGTAAATGTACAAAGCATTACAGAGTTACAACTTGCAAACCTAAACACCTCTGCAACCATTAAATCTAGACAGAAGACATTTTCTAAAACTTGTATTTCTAGTTTATGTCTACATCTACCTACACATTCAGAACAATGCAACAAAATTTGCAAATTCCTCGTAGAGTTTGTTGAATACACACATTGGGGTGGTCATTAATTAAAGATAAGACTGTTTTTGTATTTCCCTGCAAGATAGTGAGTAAAAGTATTTCTTCTTTCCAAGCTAATATTTATAGCTATTAGTTAGTATTTCCAAGTTAAGTATTTATAGCCTTACTTTTCGAAAATGATAATTTTCTTAATCTACTTGCTTATCATTTTTAAAAAATCAATGATTGAATCAAAATAATCCCTTAACTATATTTAAATTTTGTCAAATTTAATATTTAACGCGATGATACTGAAATAAGCTCGTGATCCACAGCCGGAGTCCACAATTTAGAAATCTCTATCCTAAAATATTGCGAGATACGATACAATTTTAATCAGATCCGTTTCCCAGCGTAGAAAATAAAATATTGACACTTTGATGGCTATCATTTATTCGTAAACTTGGCTTCTAACTTCTAACTTGACTTCCAACTTCTCAAATTTTGCAGCGTTCATTATGTGATATTCTCAAATATAATTCTCTCGTAATGATATGTTTGCCAAAAAGTTATGTCAATACATAATTATTCTATTTATATAACGACACTTTCCTTTCTTCAGCAAATACAGCCTTGAAACTTATATTTTAAGGTATCTCATTTAAAAATAACAAATATAATATTTAATAAGTTTCTAATCTATTAAAAATTATTAACGATTAATTGTAGCAATATTGGACTATATTATTTTTATGAATTTGGGGATGTGTAAATTCAAAACATATGTATAATACATAGTGGGATTATATTAAAATACAAATGTTAATTTCGTTTCACAAAATTTTTTATTAAGAATATTCATATGAATAATAACCTAACCATGTCTTATAACAGCGATCATAATTATAAAGGGTTGATAATAATTAAATATCTGCATCAATAATACAGGGTGTTTTTAAAAAAATTATTCATTCTTTATCAGCCAATTACTTGCAGAAAAAACTAATACATTTAATAATTTATTATCTTTTGTTTATTTATCCGATCTATAAAAATATCAAAAAACATTTTGATCAAAGTTGAACATATGTATAACAAACCAGTTAATGTGTGAAATTTTTTGAACCATTTGTATAACATCTCATACGTTGAAAAAGCAATTAATTATATTGTATAATAAAATTTTAGTTTCATGTATTAAATCGAATAGAATCTTGGAAAATGACAAACCCAATAAAATTGCAACAAAACCTACAAAATGGCCCTCAAGGCGTTAATACGTGAACCACTA